AAAAAAAAAATTAAACCTGAAACTATTTTGCTTTTTCTTTGGGTCTTTCTCTCAGCTAACAGTTGACACAGCATGATTTTGAGTCCTTTTTTAGTTTCATAAATGTGGTTTGGTTATTTTTCCCCTTTCTTGTTAAAAACGATTAATATTTTTTGTGTTTTGTGTCCACAGAGTCAGTTCTTGTTGTCACTACAAGCCATTTCTATCATGGTGCATTTCTACATGGGAACAAAAGGCCCTGAGAATGTAAGCTTACACACTGCTTATATTTAAACTCATTTATTTACAGAAATATTATCAAAGAGATATTTAATCTGAATGGTTCTCAGTTTCTTTGTAATATTATTTGTCTTTTTTAAATGAAGTAACACCCAGCCTTTAGTTATATTGTGTTTAGAAGACATGACCTAAGTATAGGAAGGACCTAACCAACGTCCTTCTCAGCCTCAGGTAGAGGTGCTGTCAGAGGAGGAAGGAGAGGAGGAGGACGAGGAAGAAGACATCTTGTCTCTGGCTGAAGAAAAATATCGTCCTGCAGCTTTGGAGAAGATGATCGCACTCATTGCTCTGCTGGTGGAGCAGTCTCGCTCTGAGAGGTGCGAGTATACAACATGCATGTATTTTTCTGTTTACATGTACAATTCATTCTCATTAGAATTAAGCATTCAAGCAGCCACTGCGTTCTCCTCTCTGTCCAGACATCTGACTCTGTCCCAGAGCGACATGGCAGCGCTGACTGGAGGGAAGGGCTTCCCTTTCCTCTTCCAGCACATCAGAGATGGCATCAACATCAGGCAGACCTGTAACCTCATATTTAGCCTCTGTCGCTATAACAACCGGCTGGCTGAACATGTATGTTTGTAGGAAATGGACTGAGTAAATGTTGCAATGACTGCCACCTATACAAGCGTAAAATGCATCCGTTTTAATTTTCTCATGTTGAATGCTTCTCTCTGCAGATTGTGTCGATGCTCTTCACCTCAATTGCAAAGCTGACTCCTGAGGTGAGCATCGCAGAAATGAAACTGGGCTTAAAATCACCTTTATTTGAAAAACCAATCGAATCTAGCCCTTGCTCATTTTGTTTGAATAGATAGAAACTGAACTTCTATCTATTCACGTTTGTTAACTTGCCTTTGAAATAACGCTTAATAAACCATTTTAAAATATGGTGTAGTGATACAAAAATGATTTTTCATGACCCCCCCCCTTAAATTCTGTTAGGCTGCCAATCCTTTCTTCAAGCTGCTAACAATGTTGATGGAGTTTGCGGGTGGACCTCCGGGGATGCCTTCCTTTGCTTCCTACATTCTCCAAAGGATCTGGGAGGTAAACACTGACACACTAAATCCTTTTATTAGATCTAAACAAATGGAAAATATTAATGTAATATGTAGTTATCATTATCAAAAGAAAACGTCTCTGGGTTTTGTTAAATACAGGTCTTCAAAAAGTTGATCAAATGTCATTTACTAGAAATAATATTACC